TTTTTTTTTGTGGTGGTGTGTGGGTTTTTTTTGGTTTTTTTTTGTTATGAAATCTGGTTACCAAGGCAATTTACAATTGAAAACGAAAGGCAGATGTGTCTGCTTTTTAAAAACTGTTGAATTTGGCTTTTCGGCATCACTTGGACAAATAATGTTTGGGCTTCTTTTCCTTGCATCATAATGAAGACAGAGATGAAAGTGTAAAATACACCATAAAATGTTACATTATTGAAAGCTTGATTCTCTAAATAGAAAGCAGTTAGTTTTTAATCATCTTTCCTATAACAAGACTTCAGTACCTTAATTGTACAGTCAGTTATGTTTGAAAATAGTTCCTTTTTCTTCAGTAAATGCTATGTGGAAAGTCAAAAAGCATGGTTTGAAAAATCAGCAAAATAAAGTACTTTTGTAGCAGACAAGTATCATTTTCTACTTCTTTCCTTTTTGTGGTTGCCCCTGTGAATTAAATACCTTGCATGAACATTACTGCAACCCAGATGTAGGAAAAGTTAAGTTCTCGGTTATACGTTCTTTGAAATAATCATACTACACTTAGCACACAAAAAAAACCTTGAATGGATAGAAATAACTATTTACACATAGTCCTTCAGGTTGTAACCTGCATTGCTCTCCTGTTCTGTGGATGGAAAATGATGCTGCCTTGGAGGGTAAATCCATCCTCCTTGCTGCTTGTTAAAACAGGAAGTGCAGAAAATCACACCTGCGATAAGCAGAAAGCCTGCTGAAATGAATCCTGTATAAACTGCTGCTCCTGGTTCATGTTTACTGCTCTCTGGAATGGTCTGGTCCAGAAAATTTGAAATGATTTCTCTTGTGTACCAGGATGTTGGTACTAATCCACAGATTCCTGCAAGAACGAAGCAGATTCCTCCAGCAAAACAAGCGTGACTTTTGCTGTCACTGTCCCCTCCCAACTTGGTGCATTTCATTCCAACTGTAGTGATGCAGATCCCAAATGCTGATAGGATACAAGACAGTACCATGGTGGTCCGTGCAGCCTGGATGTAGACGGGGAGAGAGAGAATGGAGTATTTCAGGGTACAGCTAAACATCCCAGTGCTGTACCATGTGCAGT